AGAGATATTGACAAAAGTTTGTTATGTTAAAACCTAGGAGTAAAATCAGTTTAGAGAGAGACAAAACTAAAGGAAAATATTTACCAAAAAAAACACTAAAGGGTTATTTGGGTACCTGAAAATCTGATAGGTAACAATAGATGAGTAAAATCAGTTTAGGGAGAGACAAACTAAAGAAAATATTCATCAAAAAAACACTACGTGGCCATTTGGGTACCTGAAAATCTAATAGGTGACAATAGATTACAAGAAAATATGGTATTTTCATTGGGTACACGTAGGGGTAGTTTGGGTACTTGAAAATCTATTATGTGATGATAGATTACAGAGAAATATGACATTTCCACTATTTGGATATGAAATATGACATTTCCACTATTTGGATATACTTTAATAATAAGGAAACGGAAAGAGATTACACGAGATTACCTGAGATTTCCTATAAATCACGAAATCCATTACGCAGGGTAAAAAATCTATTAGTCGCTTGACGGATAATCCTTGGAAATCGTTCGCTTGAGTCTCTCTGCCCTATCCTGTTTAAAAAAAATATTTCCTCAGTCTATGCTGTATTGTATAATTATTAAAATAAATGGAAAAAAATATTTCCCTACTCTATGTTGTATTGTATAATTATTAAGGTATACAGAAAGTGAAATTAGGGATATGAAAAGGGTAATCTAAATTGCCTTATCCTGCTTAAAAAACATATTTCCCTAGTGTATGTTGTATTGTATAATTATTAACGTAAATAGAAAAAAATATTTGCCTAGTCTATGTTGTATTGTATAATTATTAAGGTAAGTAGAAAGTAAAATTAGAGATATAAAAAAGGTAATATAGATTGATTTGAACAGATATACAAACTTAATGAGGAACACTTTTCTACTACAATCATAATAACAAAATTTCTACCTCCCTCTATCGTCCATTTGGATTGTAACCCTCGTATAAAACAAAAAAAATTCTACATCCCTCTATCCCCAATATGGATTGTAGCAATCATTTTACTCTCATATAAAAACAAAATTTTTTAATAATGGGCAAGTGAAAGTAGAGGAAAACTAAATTGATTTGAATAGGTATAGAACGGGATGAGGAACAATTTTGTACTATATTTGGAATAAAAAAATTTCTACATTCCTTTATCCCCAATTTGGGTTGTAGCCCTCATCTGAAGCTATCAGCTCATATAAAAATAAAAATAATAAAACTAATAATCGATAATCGATGAAAAATTACACAACACAATCATAATAAAAAATTCCACACAACATAATCATCATAAGAGACTAGTAACAGTTCAATTGAAATAAGATACCTCTTTAGTATCATCTAATGCTTCAAAATTTTATACTGCAATTATTAAACCTTCTAGTTTACTAATCAAACTTCTTCCCATTTTTTAACTCATACCATAACGATTTTGATTTTGGTATTATAAATTTATTTCTTATTTGAAATTATATATGGATAGACATTTGAAATACTTCTATAATAAATAAATAAAAATAAGGCTTATCGCAATAAAATCATGTTATTCCATTGACTTATCATGTTGAAAGTAAAGTCTAATCATGTTAACCAAACATCACCATATTTTTCATATTTGGTTGGTAATGCATTTCTCATATTTCTTTGAGAGATAGCCAAACACTACAAATGTATTTTCCAATTTGCATCTAAATACTACCCAAACAGTGACAATTCATTTATCGGTAATGTATTACACAGTAATGTATTACGCCAGTAATATATTTCACAGGCAATGTATTACGTAGCAATGTATTATGCCAGTAATATATTTCACAGGTAATGTATTACGCAGGTAATGTATTACGTAGTAATGTATTATGCCAGTAATATATTTCACAGGTAATGTATTCCGCAGTATTGTATTATGCAAGTAATATATTTTACAGACAATATATTTTCAGGTATCCAAACGGCTCGTTAATCATAAGGAAATGGAAAGAGGTTAGGCGAGATTTCCCAAAAAATCAGAAAATCTATTACGTGCTGTGAAAAATCTATAAAAAATCTATTACAAGAGTCACAGGTAATTTTGAAAAACCTTTCGCGTTTGTTTTTGCCTATCCTATACTTGAATAAAAAATTCTTGGTAAGCCTCTCTCTTCGTACCATCCCTTTTAAGCTCGTCTTCATAATAACTAGTATAGGTGATCTCTCTTTTTTTAAGCGGATCTTCGTAATAAAGGTGATCCCTTCTTTTTTAAGCTCGTGTTCGTAATATGCTAGTGCTCGTCTTAGTAATAACTAGCCTAGCCGATCTCTCCCTTTTTAAACTCGTATTCATAATAACTAGCATAGGTGATCCCTCTGTTTTAAGCTTGTCCTCTAAAGACAAGCTGTCATATAAAAACAAAAATAATAAAAATAAAAATTAATAGTCAATCATAAATTACACAACACAATCATAATAAAAAAGCTTGTCCCCTAAAAACAAAAATAAAAAAAATAAAAATTAATAATCAATCATAAATTACATAACACAATCCTAAAAAAATGTAATCATAATAAAAAAGCTCGTCCCCTCATCTAAAGGCATCAGCTGTCATATAAAAACGAAAATAATAAAAATAAAAATTAGTAATTAATAATAAATTACACAACATAATCATAATAAAATATTTCACACAACATAATCCTCATGAGAGATTACTAAAATCTCAATTGAAATAACATACATCTTTAGTCTCATCTAATACCTCAAAATTTTATACTCCAATTACCAAACTTTCTAGTTTACTAATCAAACTTCTTATTATTTTTTAACTCATACAATAGAGATTTTGAATTTAGCATCATAAATTTATTATTTATTTGAAATTATATAGAGAGGCATTTTAAAAACTTCTATAAAAACTAAGTAAAAATAAGGCTTATCATAATAAAATCATGTTATTCCAATCATATTGTTCCAATGATTTATCATATTGAAACCAATATCATGTTAGAAGGCATGTGATTCCATATAAGTGCGGAAGGCATGTAAAATAAGTAGGAAATAATATCATGATGACTGTAAAATTGCACAAGTTATTATTAAAAAATATTTTTTGAATGATGATGATATTATTATTAGAAATCTTTTTGGAATTGTGTGATGATGATTTTAATTCTGTATTTTAGTAAAATTTTGTGACAAAAAAGAAAGAAATGATAATTCTGCATTTTAGTGTAATTTTGTGGCAAAAAATAAAGAAATAATAGTTTATAGGCATGTGTTGGTAAAATGTTGGTAATACATTTCCTATATCTCTTCCAGACATAGCCAAACAATAACAATGTATTTCTCGGGTTGCATCTAAATACTACCCAAACAGTAACAATCAATTTACAGGTAATATATTATACAATAATGTGTAATATATTTCACAGACAATATATTTCCAGTAATCCAAATAGCCCCTAAAGGAAAATGGGAAGGAAACTTGCACTTCCACAGCAATTTGGATCGCCTATTGACCCATCCGAATCAGTTTTTGGTTCGTTCTTTGTTTTTTTAGATGTCTTTTTGCTAGTCACTATTTTTCCTGGAGAGTAAAATAGCGATCTGAACCATTGATTTACAGATCCGAATTGCTGATTCACTAGTCTTGACTGCTGATTCACTTATCTGGACTGCCAATTCATCGATCTGGACTACTGATTCACCGATTTGGACTGCTGATTTACTGATCTGGACCGTTGATTTACCGAAGTAAACCGTTGATTCATCGATCTGAATAGCTGATTCACCAATCTGAAACGCTGATTCACTGATCCAAACTGATTTTTGGGCTGTCCGGTCTACTTCACTAATCCACTATTTAACGCACTAGCAAACTTTGATTTGCCCAAAGTGGCTCATGGGAAATTGAAATTAATAATACCCTCCAAAGAGCCGGTTGTTTTTTGGGTAAGTTGTTGGTTTGTGAATATCAGGGACTAAAATGCATTAAATTAATTATGCTGTTAGTGTTTCATTTGTTGTGAGATCTACTCAATGGGAGTTTGGTTAGAGGAATGGTTTGCTCTTGGGGCACCAGAGTTATTCTTGAAATTTTTGAAGCCATAGGTGGATCTCTATCCGGTAATTTGAATATTTTTATAGGTGGATGCAGTTTCTGTATGGCCTAGGCTTTATAAAAACAAAGTAAAGCCTAACCTTGAATCTTCATGGCGAGTAGTTTGGACATGCAAAAACATGGTATTTGATTTAAAAATCAAATTCCAACAATGAAAATTTGAAGCTCAAAAGATAGCATTGATTTTATAAATATGTGAATACTTATTTTTAAGGCGAAATAAATCGTCTAGATAACAGGTTATAATACACACCATTTTTAGGATATGAAATTTTAATTTTATTCACAACCATAGAGTTCAAGATCAAAATTATCAATTTGAAATTGTTCTTACATCAAAATTATAATTTTGGGTGAGTTTAGGGTTGAGGCTTTACTTACTTTGATAAAACTGCAGCGATATTAAAATATTGTTATAATAAAATATGAACATATTCGACAAATGGGTCTCTATTCAGTTTCCTCAATTATATTTTGTTTGCTTTATGTTGATTTATTTATGCATGCAACTTTTAAGTGGGTCAATAACAAACGAATAGCAGAAAGGGCACAACAGGAAAGAAAGCCGAAGAGAGAGAAAGTGGGGGTTTGTGAGAGGAAAGGGCGTTCAAGACTTTTCAAAGAGAGAGAGGCTTAGAGAGAGAGAGAGAGTGGTGGGGTTAAAGAGAGCGTGGGAGAGGGCTATAGCGACAGAGTTACCCAGAAAAAGGGCAAAGTTTAGAGAGAGAAAGTAACCTTACTGTAAAGAGGGCGTGTAGAATATGAACTTGGACTTTAGAGAGAGAAAGTAACCTTACTGTAAATAGGGCGGCGTGTAGACTATGAACTTGGACTTTAGAGAGAGAGAGTTTTGGGTTTTTAGTAGAGAGAGAGAGAGTTTTGGGTTTTTAGAGAGAGAGAGTGAGGGGTGGGATTCCAGTGGTGTGAGTACGATACGAGTACATTGCAGACGTTTGGTAGAGTGAGAGCCCAGCAATACGACAAGGCCCGTGTGCCCAATGTCTTCCGCGCAAAAGCCCCTAGATCTGTCTTCTTACTACTTTTTTACCCTCTCTCCTGTTAGAGAGAGAAAGTGAAAAAAAAAACCACTGTTAATGATGGGCGGTTTTCTTGGATCCTTGTGGGGCTGTTTTTCATCTCTCTTTTCACGCCCGTGTGACTTCATATCCCCATTTCCTCTGAGGAAAGTGGTTTTCTATTTGCAGATGACCGCCATGATTGCGAATGCCATTGAGCTGTTGCAGAGAAGCTGAAGCTGAAAGTTTCAAGGTTTTGGAATTCTTCGGTCACTCTAAACCACTGTCTTGGACACCAAAACCACAATGGAATCTCTGCTTTGGCGAAGGATAGCGGTTTTCATGGCTGTTTGTTGTCTGATTTTAGTTCCTTTTGTCGTGGATGCAAAGACTAAGTCCAGGCAGAGGTTTGAAGTGCAAAAGCATTTGAGGAGGCTTAATAAGCCACCTGTGCAGACGATCAAGGTTTTCTTCTGCTTCTCTTCCTGGTGGTTTTGGACTCTGCTCTGGTAGTTTCAGGCTAAAAAAATGTCGGTTTCAGTTTGGGTTTTCCAGCGGTTTCCAATGGTGGATTTAGTTTGAGTTTTGCGTTTTTGGTAGTTTGGGGTTCTGCAATAGTGGTTTTACTTTTTAGCTGAATCTGCCCATTTTTTAATGGTTTTGGTGGTTTTCTGAGTGCGTAATGGTGTTTTTGTTACACCATGGATTTTCGCCTGTTTTTCTACGGTGGTTTTCTTTTTTCGCTTTTTTGTGGGTTTTTCGGTTTTGTAAAGTTACATTTTTAAAACTTTCCGTTAAACCGTAGATTTAACATTGGCCCATGTGTTGTATCTCTGTGCCCCTTTTGGGTGATTGATGGTTTTGCAGTGCTGTAATGGCGTGGTTTTGGTGGTATCTGGCATAATTTGTTAAACATGGCGGGGTTTTGGAGTTTTGATCTTGGAAAATTGAAAATCCCATATTTCTGTTTGGTTGCAGAGTCCAGATGGAGACACAATCGACTGTGTTCGCACTCATCATCAGCCTGCTTTCGATCACCCCTTTCTCAAGAATCATACCATTCAGGTGGCTAGCTTCTGATAATTTGTTCACTCTCTCTCTTATTTGTTTTCTCCTTAATCTCCCCCTCGCTCTCTCACTCAAACCAAACTGTTCATGGTCTGATTGCTGGGTTCTGGTAACTGTTAGTTCTTTTCATTCCTCATCTCTCTCTCTACTGTTCTAAGTAATTGTGCATTGGGGTTTATCACAGATGAGGCCAAGCTTTCATCCTGAAGGGCTTTACAGTGCAAACAAGGTTTCTGGCCCAAAACAGGCCTCAATCTCTCAGACTCAGCTATGGCACTTGACTGGGAGGTGCCCACAAGGAACCATACCCATTAGAAGAACCACCAGAGATGACATCCTCAAAGCTAGCTCTGTTAAAACTTTTGGCAAAAAAAAGCACAGAAGTATGCCTCTACCACCTAAATCCGCAGACCCCGACCTTGTAAATGAAAGTGGGCATCAGGTGACCTCTCTCTCTCTCTAGGTTTCCTATTGATTCGCCTTGGCATTTTTTCTTTCAATTTTTGGGCCTCTGTTCTGTTAACGATTAGTCTTGTGTGGTGTGGTTTAACTTTAACAGCATGCAATTGCTTATGTCCAAGGGGACAAATACTATGGAGCAAAGGCAACCATTAATGTTTGGGAACCTAAAATTCAGCAGTCGAATGAGTTCAGCCTCTCCCAGCTCTGGATTTTGGGGGGCTCCTTTGGGGAAGATCTCAACAGCATTGAGGCTGGTTGGCAGGTAATGTACCAAAAAAACCAGGAGAGAGAGAGAGAGAGATTGGTGTTGAATTGATATTGGCCTTGAATTGGGGATGAAGGGGGCATCAAACAACATTTGCAGAGAGAGAGAGAGAGAGATTTACAAGTATTGATTCTTCTACAAACCTTCCCATCTTCAGCTGCAAATATAAATGATTTTAATACTTCTACTATGGAAAGAGAGAGAGATCCTTTCATTTTCTCTATTGATTGTTCTATCGAGCTTTCAATTTTCAGCTGCCAACACAATGATTTTTAATACCTCTATATATATTCCTATTGGAAAACAGGTAAGCCCAGATCTTTATGGGGACAACAACACCAGGCTCTTCACCTACTGGACTGTGAGTCTCACCCATCTCTCTCTAATTATAAGATGGGCTTCAAATCAATCACTCTCTAATACTGGTGGTCTGTGAATTGATAACAGAGTGATGCCTATCAAGCCACAGGGTGCTACAACCTTTTGTGCTCAGGCTTCATTCAAATAAACAGTGACATAGCCATGGGTGCCAGCATCTTCCCAGTCTCTGGATATCGTGGTTCCCAATATGATATCAGTATCCTTGTCTGGAAGGTAATTATCATCCCTTCATACAACAAACCAAAATAACTTAACTTTTAATAAAACCCAAATGCCAGAGAGGCCAGAGAATCTATCTGACACTCACATATGCCACCTTTGTTAAATATTTTTCTACATAACTACACATGTTACTGTTTCTTCTTTATCCTCAGGACCTATGTAAGTTTGTTTCTTGAATTTATTTTTATTTTGGGAACTATTCTACATGTTTCTCTCTCCTCTTTTTTTCCAAATGTATGTGCCTTTCTTTTATTATATCTATTTTATTTGGTTGCTTGCTCTAAGAAAAGAGAGGAACTTAAAACTTTTTCCCTAAGGCCAAATAAAGGAAGTGGGTTGTGTTATGTTGGAAGCATATATACAATTTTGCCAATTTTTTTTTATGAATCTTGAATGTGGAGCAGAATTATGGATCAGGATTTGTGTAGCCGACCCCAAATGTGTGTAGCCGACCCCAAATGATTGATGATTGAGAAATGAATGATGATGTTTTATTTGGTTGCTCTTGCACACCTATTTCTTACTTCTTTATTGTTCTCTCTCTCTCTTCTTTATTTGCAGGACCCTAAGGAGGGAAACTGGTGGATGCAATTTGGGAATGACTATGTTTTGGGGTATTGGCCATCTTTCCTCTTCTCTTACTTGGCTGATAGTGCAAGCATGATAGAATGGGGAGGTGAGGTTGTGAACTCTGAACCAGATGGAGAGCACACTTCTACGGAGATGGGGAGTGGCCATTTCCCTGATGAAGGGTTTTCAAAGGCCAGTTATTTCAGGAACATCCAGGTTGTTGATGGTTCCAATAACTTGAGAGGACCTAAAGGGATTGGCACCTTCACGGAGCAATCCAATTGCTATAATGTTCAGAATGGCTACAATGGTGATTGGGGTAATTACTTCTACTATGGTGGCCCTGGCAAAAATTCCAAATGCCCATAACCCCCCTCTCTCTCCAATGGGGGCTGGCAAAAAACCCAACTGCCCATGACCCCATCTCTCTCATGTACCATTAATGTAACCTAAAAGAAAAGAGTTCCTATGGTGTGCTTCCCTCCTCTCACACCCTTCTCATACTCAGAGATGGGATATTTTCCTAGTGTGACAGTGAGAATATGCGGTCTGAATTCCTCTCCACTTGGGTTTTTCCCTTTGTTTTTCCTTTTCTCTTGCCTTTTCTAAAAGGTTTTCTTTTAGTGGATCTGTTGTAGGTGTGGGGGGTAACAAATTGGGAGGGGTGGGTCAAGTTTCTTGTCAATCTGATGAAAAGGAGCAGGCCTTTTGTCTCTCTCTATCACTACTGTACATTTGTTTGTCTTCTCCCTGGAGTGAATCTGTTCTGGTATTATTCATTGAATGAAAGACCTGGGTGTTTTGACGGGGTATTCTATCTATATAGCTCTCATAATCTGTTCAAGCATCCGTGAAGAGAGAGAAAAATCTGTTCAGGCAAAGGCAAGCGTGAAGAGAGAGAAAGAGAGAGAGGTCTTTCATAATTGAATTACAGGGAGAAAAAGAGGGACAGAGAGAGGGGCCTTCAATAATTGAATCACAATAGGACATAAGGAACATTAAAGTTTTTTGGCTTAATCTATGTGCAATGTCCACAAAACTATCAAAATGAGCTGAAGCAAAAACAATGTTGAGAGGGATGCCTCCATGTATGAATTATAAAAGGACATTAGGAGCATTAAATTTTTTGACTTTAGCTCTTTGTTTTCTATTATTTTTGTTTGGGCTGTCTTACGTAGGTTAGGGACCTTAGTAGAGCAGCCGATTTCAAATAATTGATAAAAGACTGTTGATAATGATGAGAAGTTCAAATAGGCAAAAATGTTTTTGATGTTTGTGCTTTTATGGATTAAGATTGGTCCTAATAGTGAAACTTAAAAATTTCTATAATTGCATTGAAAATTTATCACAAAATTATATTTTTAATTAAAAGTAGTTTGAGTAATTTTAGAAGATATCCCTTTTAAGTTCTAAAAAAAGTTTATTTAAGAGTGAGGCCAGACATTCGAATCAAAGCACACTTCAAAAATTCACTACATCCAAAAATCTTGAAATTGATCATCTCGATCTCAAGGTGTATGGATAAAAAATGGATTTCTAAGTCTTGGTGTAATGTATTTTATAGTTATCAAGTTTCAAAATTTCAAGTGTTTATACATATATTCGATCTACCCTATTGTTTAAGCTTAAAAGTTTATATATAAAGATGAAAATAAATACTGAGTCCATCATAAAGATTTTTAGTCCTGAAACAATATATTTAAACACTATTTAAAGGTACACCTTACTTTGATTGTTTAGAACCTCAACCTTATACAAACCACTTCCTTAAGTTTTTGTTATTAAAAAAATCCTTTTAAAAATGTGAACATTACTTTCATACTTTTATTTTATGTTTTTTTGTTGTTTTTGCAAACTGCCCTTACTTTGAAACTTGAATACTAAAGTTATTGAACCATTTAAGATTTTTTTTTTAAAAAAAATAATAATAATTATTTCATCCAGAGGACAAGGATATCCAAAAGAACTTCGGATTTTGAGAATTCAAAATTAAACCAACTCCATATTCTCAAAATCTGAAGTTCTATGAGGAAAGGACCACTGTACAAGTGTTTTATAACAATTGTTAAACTTTTAACTTTCAAAATTTGATGTAAGGGCAATATCATCATTTTGAAAAAAATGCCAAAAATTGAGTGTCAATGTCAAAACATGAAAATTTGGGGATTTCTTAAATAACGGAACTTTAGAAGGATATACACAAACTTTCCAAAAAAAAAATTTGTACTACGTTCGGATCCAATTTATCAAAGCCTATTGTATATTTTATTTCATTTTATTGTGCCAGATCAAGCTCAAATGTTGGGTGTGTGTCATGCACGTCAAGAAAAAAATTTAATTTCAAATAAATAGAAATATCGAAATACCCTTACATATTTTTTAAAAAAAGACAAAAACCATCCTCTCTAAAATCACTTTGTTATATAATATTGAAAAAGCTCTCTTTATCTTTATCTTTCTCTTTCTTTTTCACCCGTGGACCTCTTCCTCAAAAACTTTACAAGTAAGTCAAAAGAGGTATCACAAACTCAATTTTTATGATAAAGTTATTTATTTTTTTATTTAAAGAAGAGTAAATTATGCCATTTGGATTATGAATAAGGTAATAAGAGGGTTAAACGTCCTTTTTTTTTTTGTTTAACTTGGTGAGTTCCTTAGGTTTTTTATAGGACAAAAGGTAATTTGGGATAATAATTTATAAATTAGAGTATACGTGTTTTTCCCAATTCTTAAAGGATACTTTTGTTTTGGAAAATGGTTTGATAGGGATGCATCCCATCAAAATACTTAAAGGCTCACCTCATAACTTACTCAAAATTACAATTCAAGCATGGGAAAATCTTTACATCAGTCATCCTGATTTGAACATTATTGTTGGGAAAAAAAATTAGGATTTCAAGCTCTAAAAAAAGTGTATATTTTAACAAATTATCTAGACCGTCCATTTCGCCTTAGATATAAGTATTCAAAGATCCGCAAGATTAGTATAATTTTTTGAGTTTAGATTTTATTGTAAGTGTTGAAAATTGATTTTAAAGCCATCATGGAGATTTCTATTGCCGAAAGTTCATTCTAGACGACGATTTGAGGTGAGGCTTTATTTGGTTTTTATAAAGCCTACGCCTTATAGAAACTTCATCCTTTTGCTTTTTTATTATTGATTTATTTTTTAATACTTTTGACAAGTACATGAACATAACAAGTATTGTCCTAAAATTGATATGATGATGAAGATGATGATAATAATAATCTCAAATAATGGGAATTTAAGCATACGATATGAACATAATGTATGAAATTATGAATTATGGAAAACCATTTTCTGAAGGAAAAAGTGTTGATAATGCTGCAGTCTTATGAAAATAAGTAAAGCCTCGTCTCATAACTCATCGAAAATTACTACCAAAGCATTGAAAAGCTTTTAAATGGATCATCGCAGATTGAACATTATGGTTATGAAAAAATTTAAGTTTTAAACTCTAAAAATAGTGTATATTATATTAAATTATCTAGACTGTCTATTTCGCCCTAAAAAAAAATGTTAATAGCTTCGCAAGATTTGGATCATTTTTTGAGTTTCAAATTTTATTTTTGGTTTTAAAAATTGATTTTAGAGCCATCATGGAGATTTTTGTTGACGAAATAACTTTCGGGAGATTTGAGGTGAGGCTTTATTTTATTGTCATAACGCATAGGCCTTGTAGAACTTCATCCTTTTCTACATTTTGAAATAAAAAATAAAACCTTTCTGTAAAAAAAATGTAAGTAATGAGATTATTTACTTTTGGTACAATGAAGTTACAATTATCAACCGTTAGATTTGAGGTCAACTGGTTGAGGGTATGTCATTGTTTGAGCACAAAGTCTAAAACAAAATTTTTTGAATATTGTGATATAATTTCATCTATTATATCCAATTGTGAAAAATGATTGTGACCACTTTGAATGAAAAATAAATAGTCCCATATTATACAATCCCTTTTGTAAATTACCTGTGCTTTGCGCATGTCTTTTTAAGCTGTTAAGTCAATTGAGGCATCAGCATTCTATCCCATATCCTTAGATTGCCTGTTTTTTTTTCTACTATTTTTTAATTATATTGACTCTCACTCACACACACAGGTCGTCGGTTGGCATACCTACCTATTTCCGCGTTGATTATTAGTGGCTCGTTTTTTTGCCAACCAAAACCTGTATGGGGTGGGGTTCTCTTATATGTGTTTGAGTGGTCCCATCGGTCTTACTTGGAAGGCCATGTAGGTATTCAAAGTTCAAACTCTCAAAAAAATCCCACGGTTTCATGAGACATGAAAACTGAACTTGCCGGTTCTCATTTCACTTGCAGAGTGTCGTGTTTGTTGGAACTAGGGTTATATAACCCGGCGATTCGGATTGGTTTAGTGGTTTGGTGATTTGGGTCCCCCCTTTTAGAATCAACCGATGCTATTTGTTTATAATTTTTTCTTTTTTTTATTGATTTTGACCAATCTAATCGATCTTTATCATCGATTCAGCTGATCTAGATTGGTATAGTGGGCCACCGATCTAAAACTTGATTCAGAATGCTAGTTGTTAACCATACAATGACCGATTTGTAAGTTGCATCCAAATTTGGGGTAAATAGATTATGCCAATCCCACGAAAATTTAAGCATTATTCATGTAAGACTCTTTGCTCCAGTGGTCAAAACGGGTATGTTAATCTCAAGCATACGAGAAAATAGGGAAAATTATAGATACTGTTACGGTTAGTTTCTGTTGTTAATTGGGTAGAATAAGGCTCGCATGAATTCGCATATTCGTGGGAGTTATTTTAGGAGTATGTTACTTTGTGGGTAGTTTTGAGTTGACCGGTTCTGTTAGGAAGTTTGTGTGTCGTTGAGTAGCCATTCGTGGGTTATTTCTTTTTCTTAGTGGGAGCTGATTTCTTGGCTCAAATTGTGAGTGTAACGAGTCTATTTAATGGATAGTTATCTTGCTCTGAGCAGGCTTTGAGAATCAATAACACTTCGTGTTTAGAGGCCGGTTTTCTCTGTAAAACCTGTTTTTCCTGCTGTATTTTTTCCTCAGTATTTTCTCTTCTTGTGTAGCACCATAGGTACATCCAAGCCAAAGAAGAACGCCCCACAGTACATACCATTGTGGTATCATAGCAAGGGCATGGATCAACGAGTGGAAAAGTTGGAGGGTGATGTGAGCTCTCTCAGCATTGATCAATAACAAATCATGGACAAACTTAACGAGTTGTTCGTAAGGCTTGGTTCACATTCCGCCAATCTCGAAACAGAGATTAGGGACAATTCCAAAACTCCACTCACGAACCATGAATCTCGATCTGGGAACAATAGCAGAACCTGACAACAATCTTTCTTTCCTAAGTGGGTCAAGCTCAACTTCCTACGTTTCAATGGTGACGAAGATACTACGAGCTGGACTTGCAGGGTGAAACAATTTTTCCAGTTCCATCAAACACCGGACGAAGAGCGCGTGGCTTTGGCATCCTTCCATCTGGAGGGAGATGCTCAGTTGTGGCATCAAGTTTTCAAACTTGAAGCCGACGAGCTGTCTTGGAAGAGGCGCTGTGACGGGGTGCATGCCCTTTTCGAACCCACACAGTTCCAGGACTTTTTTGGAGAACTGACCAAGCTGCAACAACTTGGAAGCATCCGGGACTACCAGACCTGTTTTGAGAAGCTGTTAACGAAGGTAGGGTACCTTCCACCTGACCGCCAGGTCAGCTGCATTGTTAGTGGGCTAAAGAACAATATTAAGGTGGACGTACTGGCAGGGAGACCAGTGACTCTCTCTGATGCTATTGGGTT